ATTTTCCATCTTGTCTTCAGGAGATCAAACAAATTGAGTTTTCTAATGCTTCTTCATATACTATATTTCTTAAATTTCTAATAATTCTTTTTCTTTTTTTCTGTAATGTTTCCATTTGGTCCACAATTTTCTTGAATTGAGCAGAGTAGCTTTAATAAAAAGTGCTTCAGCTGAGGCCTTATCAGTGCCAAGTCAAAGACAGCTTTATTATCCAGTGATTAGCTCAGCTGAGCTACAGTTTTTTGGCCAGTACAACTAACACCAAGATCCCAAAGGAAAATCAGAAGGTGTAGTGCACCACTCGTGATAATTGCTGTGGTGATCGTGGCAGTCTTAAACATCTATCAATCCACTCTTACAGTTGACTCCTATACTAGACACTCTGAATCACGACAAAGAGATAGTACATCATCCTAATCTTCCTTTTCTGCATTGGAAAGTAGCATACTTGGATGGAAATCATAAGTTGATCTAATGCATTTTGTTAAGAGGAGGAAGCATCGCTAAGAAAGGTACAGGTTAAAACAATCTCAGCTGGACTGTGATCAGTGCTGGTTTCTTTCCTTTTCCATTAGACGTGGTAAGGCATGTGTAGAAGCTGGTTTGTGCCTTGGGAAAATTATGTTAAGCAGCATTTTATTGATCATGAAGTACCTCATCTGGGAAGAGCTTCAGAACGTTGTGAGACTGCGTGTTGGCTGTAGATATTTAGAAAGGCTACTGCAGTATAGCACCAGTGTGTGGGGACAAGGTCATTTATGTTTATTGAGTGCTCTTATTGTGTGTGCATTCTGTCATGCTGACAAAAGCTTGTGAGTTTTTGACATAAGTACAGCATTTGTCAACTTCCCAGCTGACCCCTTGCATGTCACAATGTGTGGATGTGGCACGAACAGATGTTGCACATCTTTTCTAGTACAAGGTGGATGGACATTATACAGTTCATAGAATTGGCCTCCATCTTTTACTTTGAAACACAGTGTCTGGAAGGATGTGTCACTTTCTAATTTACATTCCCTGATATTTTTATGGGCTTTGATAGTTGGATTCTTAAAATGACTTAAAAGTGTTCTTGCCACTTTGGAACAAAGCAGCTAATTGGGATCTCAGGCCACAATGTACATGTCTAATAGCATTTCCACTGAGCATCTGGTCTCAAGTTTGCTTTATCTTTCTCCATGAAAGTGGCGTTTTTGACATCTGTTATAAGGGTTTGGAAACTGGGAGCTTTCCATGGTGTGTTCCGTTCATACGGTATTTCCCTTAGGCCACATGCAGTTTTATTTCTTTTTAAATTTACTTGCGTTTCATATCACACAAGTTAAAGAGTTAACTATGTTTTTCCATTGTGGAAATTTCACTTGGTAGATATCGGGAGAGCCCTACCTTTCTATTTGCACAGGACTAAGCCCTTTAGTTGTTGTCTTTGCTAAACAGTTAAAAGGCGGTGTGTTCTTCACACAAAGGCCTTTAAAGTGGAGGTTTCGCTATCCCCTTTTGTAATTAACTTTAATGGTGATCTATATTACTTCATTTTAGACATACCTATGGCAACAGAAGTTGGGTTTTGTTAGTCCTTTCTCCTGCATTCTGTGTGCATGTCAGCTCTCTATTTTCCTTCAGTGCTTCAGCCTTTCCCAGCCTTCTGCACATTCACAGACTGGATTGTTTGGAAGTCTCTCACTGCAGAAAGCTTACAGGGAGAGGTGCCTGAAAAAATAAATAGGCGCTATGAACCTGTACAGCACAGGGTGGTCCCTGGAACCTCTTTGCGAGTCTTGTCATTTGTGGCATGCTTTCACAGTTTCTGGTGCTGTGGTTGACATGGGTGGAGCTGAAAAAGTTGCCAGTCGTCTTGTTGCCCATCTTCTTCCATGTATGTGGTAGTCCATGGGTGTAGTTAGAGAACACGCACAGACTGAACAGATACCACTAACAAAGTCACCACTGTTAAACTTTTCTTTTTCTGGTGACCTTGGAGGTTGGTGACCTGTACTGAAAGGATATGGACTTTCCATATGCACAGAAGCATTCTGTGATGTAGCAGTTTCATAAACTGAACCAGAATTCCTAATTTTTGTGTAGGTAGAATCCCAAAATACTCATGCCGGGCACAGTTAGTAATTCAGGATTACCTCACAGTGTGTTTTCTCTGTCGGAATTACCATAATTTATTGTATAACATAAAACGTCATTTAATACTGACATACTGAATGGCATTCATGTGAGTTAACAAGAAACATGTAAGCTCTGCATTATTTCATGGCTTAGCGCAAGAGAAGTTTCACAGTGGTGCTTCTGAAGATGGAGCAAATCTGTTGCCTTCACATCTTGCATTTCTAATATTCTTGTAGCACTTCGAGAGACAAAGCACATTTTAGATCTGCATAGGAAAAGAAATTCAATAACAAAATTAATATAGAAGCTTTTAAGAAGTGTTTAAGCTTTAAAACCATAAACATACTCTCTTTTTCATTATATTTTATAGTATTACCCTCTATATCATAAGTTAAATTTTATATTTACGTTACTTTGCCTCCAAAAATGTAATATGTCTGTCAGTATTGGGGGTATAGATGGTAATACTAGCGTATATTATTGGTACTGTCTTCTAGCTTGATCTGAATTCTTACTCAGCTCTTACCCTTACCCTTTGGTTTTATGACCAGTCTTAATTACTTAGTACCAGTATTTTCTCCTTTGTCTCTAGCGTTCCTGCCAATGTTCTTCTTCCCGTTACTATGTATTTGAGTATCAAAAAATAGTTTGTTAAACACAAACGCAGCTATACCACTGCTATTTGAAAAATGTTGAGAAAAATTAATATTCAGAAAAACAGAAGGGTAATTTTAGAAGAAGGATTGTATAATTCTTTTCTTGGCATCTTTCCGCATTTGTCTACATTTTCATTTCTGACCATGTGAACCAAACAGTTGCTTCCATCAGTCTTTAAGCAACCATCTTCTCCTTGTGCTTTCCTCTAGCCAAATCTTTGTTCTTTTTTAAATGTTCGCATTATGCATGGGTGACTTGGAAATGCTAATATGCCATGCTCATGTTGTATTTATGTGTGTTGTAACAGTTTCTCTTTTCTGGCTGTCTTACACAAATACACATCAAACTCCCTTCAGTGAGGTGATTACATCGCATAGAGCTGAGTGAAATAGATACGAAAGGTTCGAGATAAGTGTCTCTTCTGTACTGAGTGTTTGGCACCTTTTAGTGTGGAAGTGTGTCCAGCAGCTCAATTTGTCTCTGCATAGGGCAACTGCTGCCATTTAAAAAAAAAAAGGAAAAAAAAAAAAAAAGTCCATCAAAGAGGAAGCAGCAAGAGCAACTTTATAGTTCTACCTGCATTGCAGGTGACTGCCAGGTACAAACATATTTGACCTGTAAGGAAGAGTGTTAGCTTATTTCAACTCCCTTTCTTAGCAAAGGCATCCCTGGCTGCTACTTCGGATAACCATACAACATACGCTTCTTCAGCTCCCCGGTGTTACTTTGTCTTAACTTTATGAAATATCGAAGAAGCCCTGTGAATGTTAAATGTTGTCTATAGTGAGAAGATAGCAATTACAGTGATACATACTGTTGTGTTGTTGGTTTTTTGTTTTTTTTTTTCAATAGTGTTATGGAAGAATAGTCCTTTTTTATTGCCCTTTAGTAATGGGGTGATTTTGTGCATGTTTGTTTTTTTCTTAAAGCTTTTTACTAGGAGGATCATGTTTAACCCTTTTACTCTCTCATCCAAGAACTGGTGTCTAAGAGACTTTTTAACTTTTACAGGTTCTGTGTCATTATGTGTTTCACAGAGATTAACAGCATGTCCCTGCCCATTCCCAAACTTTGTGTTCTGTTTTGTGCCAGAAACGTAAAATTTTGAATGTATGTTTATTTGGACAGGCAGAAGGTGACTATAATGTGTATATGTTTTAATTAGTAAAGTAAAATGAATAGGCTTTGGATAAGTTGTGGCAAGTCATTTAACTAGAATTGACAATAAACCAGGTGCCATACTGTAGAAGAGATGAAGGAAACAAGAATTTCTTGACTTCCTCAATGTGGCTCTGAATTTGTGAAGTGATGAGGAATTCTAAACAGGAAGATTCAAATGAGGAAAAGAATATTGTTGGAATGAAAGCATGATAATAGCAAAGAGCAATCCTGTCATTAGGAGATGACAGAGAGAGCTGAAGGAGGAAAGTACTGTGCGGCAAGAAGGCCCACTGTAGTAGGAAAGCCAGTGCTGTGTAATGGTGTTAATACACTGATAAATGATACTGTATATATTTGTATATAGATACATATTTGTAGATATTTATTTGAACACCACCAACAATATATAAACCAATAAGATACATAGTAATACAGTAAATATATTACAATAAATAAGAAGACACATAAATCGTATGGAAAATATTTAATCAATACACATTTTGCAATGACGTTGCATATTGCAAAAATTTAATAAGTAATAACATAATTTTAGTACCAGGCAAAAATACCACCCTTCCTATTCACTTAAGAATTTGATTTAGCATGAACATCCTAACACACTGATGTAAAAGAAGTTAGTTCAGTTGTTTGAGCAATTGTTTGTTGACAGAGAATTATCTCATTACGGAACCTTTTGTCACAGTGGCTTAAGGAGGTTTCAACAATAAGTAACAGCTTTACTCCCTTTACATTTCCCTTCATTCTGCAATTACTCACTGAGTATGTAAAGTTTTGTGGTTTTCGTATTTTTCTAGCACTTTCTGACTCTATTTTATTGTTGCTGTTGCTTAAAGGTATTACTGTACCTTTAAATTCTAGGAATCAATAAATGGTTTCCAGGTTATCAGGGGAAGTTCAGTGTAAATTTCATATTGTAAGGTTTTTATCCAAGCCTATGTTAGGCAGTGCATTTCAACAGGGAAAAAAAATGCAGTCAACTCCGTGTCAATGTGTCTGAATGCGTAAGAGATGCGATCTTAAAAGAAATGTTGTTTTATTTGCAGAAAGCCATATTCTTGAGGATGTAAACAAGTGTATCATTGCACTGAGAGAGCAAAATGCAGACAACTTAGATCGTGCAGCAGGTGCAATCCGAGGGCGCGCTTCAAGAGTAGCTCACATTGTTTCGGGTGAGATGGACAATTATGAACCAGGGGCTTACACTGAAGGAGTGATGACCAATGTTCACTATTTGACCAAGAATGGTAAGTCTGATTTCTAAGCTACCTTCTCAGTTTCTTTAGTAGTGTAAACTTTTCTTTATATGCCACATTTAAAGTGAATCCTGTGATTCTCTGATGTAATACACTAATTATGCACTAATAATTCACTATATGGTCTCTAATCTCCTTTCAGCATGCTATCCAATTATGGATGGTACCATGCAGTTCAAAGTTAATTTTCAAAATTTTATTTGAATGACATCATTTGTGTAAGGCTTTTTAAGTTATGGCAGACTTTTACCAGAATTCTTAAATAAATGCAAATAAAAAAAATTGGAAACTTGTAACTGATGAGGCAGCAGTTTTCCACTCTGTTTTACTCGCCTCATCACATCTGTTCTAACCATATGAAAGGCAAACTCGCTTTGCGATTTGTGTGTACTTGCCCCTTTTAAGGACTGTTGAGCAGCAGTTAAATATCACCAAATATCTTCATTTTTGCTAAGCGAATTTGGAACTTCCTAAAATGGTTAGTGTGTCCGTTTCCTTTTTCATTATATTGAAAAAGAGAGTATCCTATATTGGAATGTACCTGTACTGTCAGCAGGGGTGTAACTGCACTATTCTATAAATGGTTTCTGTTGCTTACAACAGTTGTTGTTTACATAAATGTATCTCTTGCCTTTCATAGTACATACTTAAAAAAGAAAATTATCTGTGGAGCTCCCAGGACTTCCATGTTTTCAGGGGTTGCAAGTCTAATAGTTGGGCAGTTCAAAAATTGCTGTTAAGAAATTTTTTGGCAAGTCTGTACATCTCTGGAATATAGGATTCAGCTTCATGAACTCAGAAGTCTAAATCCTAGCTCTGTCAATCTAAACAAGTTTCTGGTATCTTATATTTCACTGACACTTACTTTATTTTACCACAAGAAAAGACAGGAATTTTGTTTGAGCTCTTTCTTAATTGGTTCAAATTGGTCCAGGTCAGAACTGACTTTGTGTAAAACAAGAGTGAATTGACATCACAGTGAAGTGGCAAAAGGGACAGAATAGTGAGAAGGATTTGAAATAGACTTGCCTGGTTTTATCTTCTTTTCTGACGTTTTGATGAGAAAATCTGAGAACTTTTCAACATGACATCTTTTTTTCATAACTTCTGAAAGTACTATGACAAATCTCAAGGGAAGCAGCAATTATAGGAAAGCATAGTTTTGATTCCTGTGTAAAAGCTGAGCCCTTCTTTGTTGAAACTGGTAGTCTTTAAACACATAAGGAATTGATGCTGATTTCTGTTCTGTTGCCTTTCTTTGACAGTAATACATAATGTACCTAACTCCGTGTATGTACAGAAGACAGGAAGACATAAAACTGTTTTTTGTTGGAATGTTTGCCTGGGTCAAGGGATATCAAGCATGGTGTCATCTGCTCAAATGTCTTTGCAGTACTTCAAACCTAAGAATCCATTATCTTTATGTTATTCAATAGGACTGGAAAAAAGAGACATATATTTCTCATTCTTACCTGTATTTATATGATTTGCAGTGAAGAGACATCATATTATGCAATGTTTTTTGGTTGCTTGATGGTTTGTTGTTTGGTTTTTTTTTTAACTGTTTCAGCTTACAGGGGAAATGCCAGTAGGCTGCAGCCCTCAGGTGTAACCCAAAATACTCCATCACTGCTAGGTTTTTCAGGAGCCAGCTGATTGCAAGGTGACACTTCACTACGAGAGAATTGTGTATTTGTGCTGCCATTAGCTCCTAAGTTAGCCTGCATGAGAAACCTAGGGCAGTGAAGTGCGTCCTTTATGCCTAGTGAAAAACTAATGTGTTACTAAAGAAAAAATATTGCAGGGAGAGTATAGAGTTAGTGAAAATAGAATTATAGAATAATAGCATACATGGAAATTGCAGAGAAATAAAAACGCTGATGAAAGAGAGAAAGGGAGCCAGAAATGGGAAGGATGCAAATTGGATGTAACAGGACAGAGAAATTGCGCATAAAGAGGAACAGGTACATTTACTGTTTGTTAAGACAAAGGCTGAGGTAAAATTGTAGCACATATGTTGAGGTAGTTTAAAAGAAAAGAAGAGGTTAAATTCTATGCATTACAGTATATTCAAGAAAAGAGCATAAGATCACTGAATTTGTCTCTCCAGCTGAAAGGCATCAGACATATGTGAGATGGTAAAGTGGGTAATTGTACTGCCATACAGAGAGTGTTAAAACTGATGCTTAATGTCTTAGATCAAGTTGTGTGATCATGTTTAGATACCAGATATTGACAGCTGAATGGATCTCTACAGCACTGTAAAATGGAGTGTCAGCTTCCTCAGGCTTATGTTATGCCATTCCTCCATTTTGCCCCTTCCTTTTCCCCCCAAGAAGAAAACCTCAAGCAAACTAACAATGCCCTGTAAGAGAACCATTTACGTTGTGTAGTTGAGCTCTTAGAATTTAGGTAGTACCAGAACTAAAGTTGTCTTTGCAGCCTTGATTTGCACTCCGTGTACGTATGGATTATGACATTGTGATTATGTGATCATACACAGTTATGTTACAAAACAGTTGCTTGATTCAGGTCACTGGATGAGTCTGCTTTAGATATGCCAAGGTCACATATTAGATGAGGCTGCTGTCCACAGGATTGATTTGGAAAGTAAGCAGAAGACTGCAGGAAGAGAATATATGATCTGGTAGTGAGGATAGTTCATTTGGAGACTGCTGCTGTCGGTACAGAGTTCCTATGTCACATTGTCTAAGTACACGAGGCTACAACTAAGTGTGGAGTGCAGGAATAAAAAAAATGCTTCCCAGCTCCTGGTCTGAGTGAGCATGCTGACGGGGTCCTTGCTCTACATCACAGGGCATGTAGGGGGCGTTCTCCCCTCTTGATCTCAAACATCAGTGGGAAGGGCATGTATGTATGTGGATAGGAAAGAGCATTCCAGCCAGCTCCCTACTGTAGATGATTGGAAGTCAGCATTGAGAATCATGCCCTGGAAATGTGTGCCACAGGGGCTGTCTGAAACTTTTATGGACCACTGGAGAACAGAGTGTTCAGTTGTGTGGTCTGTATGCTCAGTGCTGGCAAGTGTTTAAATCAGCATTTCTTATCTTGATTTTACAAGTACAAAGGTGGTAGAGGTTCAGGCTGTATTCTGGTATGGTTAAGACTGAAAATGTTAGTACTGGTACTACTCTCTCTTTCCTAATGTCTGGTGCTGTTGATTAGATTGAAATATGCAGATCCTTGCATTTTGATAGGGTTTGTGTACTTTTACATGAAAGCAAAATGAGACCTTTAGAAACACTTTATAAAAACCTAAGGTATTTCCACTTCAGAATTGGAAGAGTAACCTTGTACTGTATTTTTAAATATCAGTCTACTCCATTATTTAACTGCCTGCCAGAATCTGCAGCAGTTAAATTTAAGGAAATAATTTATATTATGGCATATATCTGTTGATACAGTAAAAAGCCTGTATTTATTGTAAATTTTGTCTACAGTTCTGCTTTTGTGTCAAAGTATAATGATATACTATATACACATACAAGTATGTATACACATATATATAAATCCTCTAGTTACTTAGATCTAAGGATCTTGTAAAAAACAAGGAAAAGGGTGGAGACACAGAGGGATAAGTATTTTAACTGTCGTAAAGAACCTAGTGGAGGTATCTTTCTCTGCATCACTGGAGTTTTGAGTCCACATTTTTTTATTCCAGCAGTGCTGATGGAATTACAGCAAACCATTGTCCACAGCTTCTTACAATCAGAATTATGAAATACCTTGTAATTCACATAGGGACAGGGCTTAACTTTGAGTTTAGGAATAGTAATGAAGTTGTATTTGGAATGAAAAACAAATGTAACAGTTCTCAAAATAATATATTAATTAAATTAATATATTCAATTAAATAATGATTCGTTAAATTAATATATTAATTACATTCTTAACTATACTGTTTGCCAGTGTCACTGATGAGTGTATTTATTTGTTGGTCCCAAGATGGTCATTTTGGCCATCTTCAAGAGTCTTCTCTCGCTTGATAGCCCTGTCAGTGTGATCAGTCATATAGCCTCCATACTAATGCTGATCTACTCCACCTGAAACAGAGATTTCTTGTATGGTACTTTATTAAATGATACTGCAGGGTGGACTGAATCTACTGCATTGCTTTTCTCTGGGAAAAGGTAACTTATCTTAGCAATAACGGATATTAATGTTGTCTGATACAGGCTTCCTTCCATCTTCTGCCTTTTATTTACCTTTTCCATTTATCTGCATGTCTTGCATGCCTATGTGCACAAGCTGATGACTTTGTATTTTCCTGGATGCTTCACTTGCCCTTTTCAAATACAGTTTGCAGGATTGTCGCAACAGCTCGTGCAAAATGACTGACGGTTTCCTTTGTCCACTGTCTGAGTCTTTTGCGGTAGGGTTGTTTGTCTTCTCCAGTTGAAGAATGTTATGCTCTCACCCAAAAGACACCCACCAAGGAGGAAACATAAGAAGGCTTTGCGGTCTGTTTTCTCGTGCCCACTGTGACATTTGGTACTTACTTTATCCTCTAAAATTTGGTATGTCATCTAAGCCAAAATGCGGAGAGAGAAGCACCTCCAGAGACTTGATTGACTTTTCCTAAGATAGATCTTCAGATCAGATAGGATGAATCAGCTGTTGAAGCTCTTTACCTCCTCTTGTAGTATAAAAGATACCAATATGACCAACTTTATTCTAGATGATTTATTTGGGGGTAGCTAAAATAAGTTGGATGAATCTCACTCATTCTGCGGTACATGTAAAATCAAAAGTTTTCACTAATTTAAAAAGACAAGTATTTTTAATAAATATTTTCCACTGGTCATTCATCACCCTCAGAATGAGATTTAAAGATAATATTTGCTATCTGAGACTGTTTAGTATTTCATGTTTTTTGCCCTTGCTTGTGAAGCCGAAAGACTGCTAAAGAGGACCGAGTCTTTTCGCTGCAAAATATTAAAAAAAAAAAAAAAAAATCCCCAAAACATTTG